AGCATTTCGCAAGTGGTTTTTCGGTTTTCCTGCTGTCTTTCATTCAGTTCATGTGGAACCCATTTTCCCATCTTCTGGATCTTTCCCATGGATTTCAAACGTATGGAGACGGCTTCTCGTGTCACATTCAATTGATCCGCGAGTTGTTGTTGAGTTTGAGCGTCATCCTCATCCAACAATGCTTGCTGTTCGCTGTCTTCAAACTTTTTCGGTCGTTTTTCATATTCTTCGTTTCTCACGTCAAAATCGCCACTTTTGAATTTTTTAAACCACTCAAAGCACTGTGATTTACTAAGAGCATTTGGCGTCAATGATGCGGTCTTACGGCAACTACATTGACAGCTATGGCCATCTATTGGTAAATTCCGGTTTCATATTTACATACCTGGTACATCAGATGCAACATCTACATCAACAATTATAATTAACGAACTAGGCGAAACTCAATCAGCTACAAACGTTCTTGAATCGGACAATAGTATGTCTCTGAAGAAAAAGAACATAAAGAGAAAACGGTTAGTACACAGTAAAAGAAAATTTAAAATTTTAAAATTTAGTATATTTTAAGTGTCCTATTCCGACATTTTTACAAAAAATAAATGATATTATTTTTTGTATCTAAATAAAGATTTTGAGAAAACCGTTTTATATTTTGCGAACAAGTTACTTATCGTATATGTAATGACTAATTCTAGTAATAACTAAAAATATACTAGAATTACTAGAAATGTTAAATAGAATTTAAAAAAGCAGCATTCTAAAACTCGAAGAGAAAAGGATTCTTATGTGGGCATTAACATTATATAGTTTTATTCGACGTTTGAAATAATTGAGGTGTAATACTGACTGTTCTAGCTAATTCTTTCTTTTTTATTTAAAATGATTAAATTTAATGTAAGTCCGTCAATCAAATGCTTGCTCGTGAATAAATTCACTAAACGTAGTTTTAATACTTAATCTTGTGTATTTTATCAGCTATGTGTCATTTTGACTAATAAATCAATATAATAAATGGACTAAAATTGGTCCATTTATTTATTAGCATATTATGCATATTAATAAAATCTAATATATAAATTATTATTTTCAATAGTGTAACAACAGTATCACAAAATTCAATGGAAAACATATAATAAAAACATAACCGTATAAACATATAATAAAAACAAGTAAAGAAAAAGCTATTAAAATCGATGAAAAAATTGCAAATTTTTTCTATGCTTGCAACATTTCCTTTCAAATTGTGGAACATCCTGCATTTTGTGAAATGCTTAATGTACTACAACCTGGTTATAAAAAACTTAATCGTAAAGATCTAGGAGGATCGCTGCTGGATAAAATTAGTGAACAAATCGATTAAAAACTGCAGATTTATTAGATGATTATTCCAACAGACCAATTACTATTCTGCAAGACGGATGGTCTAATATAAAAAATGATCCGATTATTGCAACTAGTATCCATACTGGCAGGGATTCCTATTTATTATCTGTAATAGACTGTGAGGCTGAAAAAAAACAGCGCGATACTGTACAGAGATTTTATTGAAGGTCATCGAATTGTGCAAAACTAAATATAAAAAAGATGTATTTGATGTAGTTACTGACAACGAGAACAAAATATTATTACTTAGAAGAAATATACAAGAAAAGCACCCCAAAATTTTAACATATGGATGCAGTTCGGACTATTTAAATTTAATAGAAAGTTCAGTAACTCCTAAAACTGTAATGAAACATTTAGTTGAGATTCAAACATATTGGCGTAATCACCACCAACCACATGGATGGTTACGCCAGAAGAACGGAAAAATGCCTCAAATTACGAATGATACTAGGTGGAATTCACATTTAGCATGCGTACAAACATATAAGCAAAATTATATTATATTATATATCGAGAACTTATAAAAGAATATCCGGACGAGATAAACGATAACATCAAACGAAAAATTGATGATATAAACATCTATAAAAACTCCCTGGACTTGGAAGAGCAACTTAAAGTTGTAGGTGCATCACTTGATCTACTGCAAGGAGATACTGTTACTCTGGCTAATGCAGTTGATTTATGAAGAAAATTATTGAACAATACGAACATACAGCTCTACAAAGAAAATATCAATACAAGGTTCAGACAAGCAATGCAATCATTTCACTTTTTAGCGTATATGACAGATCCGAAATATCTAGGTGAATATACTCAGTAAATTATTATTATTAATAACAAATAACTAAACTCTCAACCTGAGACATTACTAAATTAAAAATATTTTTCGACTTTTAATGCAATGCACTAATGTACTTAACCCCGCTTCACAATAGACTTTCCAATTTCCGTAACTATAAATATTCAATATATATTGGTTAATTTGGTTAGAACTTAGGAACTCAAAGAAAATTTATCAATATGCTTTCAAAATATTACGATTACAAAATCTATTATAAATCATGCTCGCTTTATTTTTTATTTTTAGAAAATTCGTTACCAATTGAATTGGAGAATGAAGCTGAAAGTTTTGGCTGGCCGAAAATTATCCTGAATATTTAACTGGTCTAATGTTATTTAAAATAAGAGATACTGAATTTTATCCGAAGACTTTTCACTTCATCAATTATAAAAGATATGCTAGCTCATAAGTGATGGAGAATTTTGAGCATAAAATTTAAAACAGATACTGACAACAACCAAAAACAAGAAATGTGTATTTTTTTTCAAAATTACATAGTTGCCCAGCTAGTTCTGCAGCTATCGAAAGAATGTTCTCATAATTTGGCTTCATATGGAGTAAGATGAGAAATAGGCTGGGAGCAAAAAAAGTTGAAAAACTTGTTAAGATATATCGATATTGACAAATCAAAAACAAAACCAAAGATTTAGATTTTTAATCAGATATTTTTAGTTTTCATGAGTTCAGTTTTATTTATTTGATTAGATATTTAAACAGATGTTTTTACTTCTCATGTTTTTATGACAGTGTTCTAATATTAGGTGTACAACTTCGCTTCTACCGTTTTTTTTCCCGAAATTCGAGGCTTTATTGTAAAAAACTGGTTATACATTTATGATTCAAAGTATTGTCCATCACTGGCCACTACTTTCTCCCATCTTTCGGGCAGCGTACAAATCTCGCGTCGAAAAAACTGGTCATCTTTTGAGGCGATCCACGAATCGAACCAATTTTTTACTTCTTCATAAGACCGGAAGTGCTGGTCAGCCAGGCCGTGCCATTGATCGAAACAAGTGATAGTCAGAGGAAGCAACGTCTGGAGAATACGGCGGGTGGAGTAGGACTTCCCATTTCAACGTTTCCAAGTATATCTTGACCACTTTCGCAACATGGGGTCGAGCATTGTCATGCTGCAAAATCACTTTATCGTGTCTCTCATTGTATTGCGGCCGTTTGTCTTTCAATGCTCGGCTCAAATGCATCAATTGCGTTCGATACCGATCGCCTGTGATTGTTTCAGTCGGTTTTAACAGCTCATAATACACTACGCCGAGCTGGTCCCACCAAATACAGAGCATGATCTTGGAGCCGTGAATATTCGGTTCGGCCGTCGACGTGGAAGCATGGAAACTCCCCATGATTTTCTGCGCTTGGGGTTATCGTAATGAACCCATTTTTCGTCCCCAGTCACAATACGATGCAGAAATCCCTTCCGTCTTTGCCTTTCAAGCAGCTGTTCACAAGCAAACAAACGCCGTTCAACATCTCTCGGCTTCAACTCGTACGGCATCCAATTTCCTTGCTTCTGAATCATTCCCATGGCTTTGAGGCGTTTTGAAATGGCTTGTTGAGTCACTTCCAATGATCGTGCCAATTCTTCTTGATTTTGACACGAGTCTTGATCAAGTAATGCCTCCAATTCTGCATCTTCGAAAACCTTCCTCTCTTCCACCGCTATGCCGATCTTCGACGTCAAAATCACCGTTCTTGAAGCGTTGAAACCACTCACGACACGTTCTTTCACTAACAGCGGCCTCATCATAAGTATTTGAGAGCATTCGATGAGTCTCAGTCGCAGATTTCTTTATATTGAAGCAGAAAATTGAAACCTTCCGTAAATGACGAGAATTTGGCTCGTAAACTGACATTTTCAATCGAGAATAACTTTATGATGCAGACACAAATCGACTAATGTTTCTATGGGGTTACATTGATAGATGCCCATGTTTATTGTATGACGTTTGTTTATTGTTGATCTATTTATTTCGACCACCACTTACCGCTAAAGCCATCTATAAGAAAACAGCGGAAGCAAAGTTGTACACCTAATATAACAAAGTTTAAATTTTTTTTAATTTTAGCTAGTCTAGCTAGTTTAGCTTCTTACCTCCTGGTTTACCGTATTACTATTGCAATTGAGTGCAATATTATATATATTTTTGTAGATGGATATAGTCAGTTATATGTATTACATAACTTACATATGTAATATGAGTTTAATAAATTGATAATCAAGTATGATAAGTGTTATTTTTATTGAGTGGTTTTGTTTAAAAAATTAAAAATGCAAAGGTATATTAACAAAACACAATGAAATTTGATGCAAACACACAGGGTGTTTGATAATTCTGTCGACAACGCTTGTGAATAGACAGAGCGGACCAAAGTCGAAAAGTCCTCTACCATTTTGCAATTTTAGCAATAGTTAATAAGATATTAATTACTAAAAATCTGGGTTTTTGTAATTTGCACTTGGGTTTTTGTACAAAAATCCTGTGGATTTTTGTAAACTGGGTTTTTCTATGCCAACCCTGCCATGAAGAATTTAAGTGAACGCCTAGAATTCTAATGGAGGAGGAGCAAAGAATTGAAATTGAATTAATATTGACATTAAAGGAATGAACGAGATAGTAATACAGATGTGATCCGACGATGAGCAGGGAAGATTTGAAAGGATTCAGATGTAGGGCATTAGGAGAGGTCCATGTGATCTCTAGAGAAAATCATTGATACTAGAAACAAAGTATTAAATAGCAAAATGTAAGCTCACCGTGTATGAGATAACGGCAATTATTGCATTAGTACCCATCGCAAAATCATCCATATTAATATTATCGTAATGTACCGGCCTAAAGAGTGGTGTGGCAGGTGTTTGCAGCCTGTACATTTTCGTTTGTGATTGCTGTTGCCAATTATGGCACGGTGTAGCCATCGTTTGTTTACCCATCTGTGAAGTTATTGAAAAATTTATATATTTCAATCAATGTGCTATTAATGCATTTACAGTCTGCAAAATTCAGATACGATTCGGAAGTTTTAATTTTAGGATTATTATATTATTATTAATAATCTGCAGAAAAACAAGAAAGCCAATGTAAGCCAGCCACAGGTTGTTCATGTGTAAGAATTCTTTATATTTGAAGTGAAATAATAATTACAGACATTTTGACCCTTATTATTGGGTTATCTTCAATATAGATTTGAAACAAATTCATCCATTAATAATTAAAAAGTGTATACAATCGCTTAATACATGGGTCAGACGAAACAATTATTAAAAACTAGATTATCTGAACATCATAATCACATCAATAGACATACTAATCAACACTCTGTTATTACGAATTACATAAATTGAAACTCAATCATGAATTTGATTGAAACAACATTAGAATTTTGAATGAAGAAAAACCTATAATAAGCGATCAATCTCAGAATCGATTTACACAAAAAAATAAAAAAATGGATTAAATTTACAGGACGATACTGTTGGATTCTTTATAGTTATTTTAAAAAAGATTAATTTTTCTAAATTTTAATAGATAATGTTCTATACTCAGTTCTTGTAATTTTATTTACATTAAAATAAACAATAACGGACTCCTGACAAATCGAATTACAAACACGAAAATATATAGGCATATAAGAGTCAGGTGCGGGTATCGGTGCGCAAAGAAATTATACATGTAGTTAATAAAAAATGATATATAATCTAAATATAAAAATAAATAGTTTACAAAAGATAACACGTTTCGGCTCTAGCTTTGAGCCCTCTTTAGATCATATAATAAATAAACGCGTTAAAATATAGTCAAATACGTATAGATATACTGTTTCTGTACATGATCAATGTATCATTTGCAAGCGGTTGGCTGATCGAGTGAAAAAGATCAACATATAAGGGCTCAAAGCTAGAACCGAAACATGTTATCTTTGTAAACTATTTATTTTTATATTTAGATTATATGTCATTTTATTAATTACACATGGACGTATCCAAGGGGGTGGTTTTGGGAGTTTGAATCCCCCTTTACCTGAAATTTTTTATTAATTATTTTATTTTGAGAAGGTCCCGTTAGCACACATTACGATAGAACACATCCATTCACAGTTAGTGTCTAATAATTTTTTACTGCTTTACTAATAAAAATATTTTATTTTGAATTGGCAATGTACAGTCGGTCATAGAAAGTGCAACACTTCTTTTTCGATGAGTTTCGAAACTCAGCTGCTCATACAGCGGTTCGACATAAATGGTTAGATCCTTAAATAAGAACCAATCGCTCGCTGAACAAATTATATTCTAAAACCCACCGAGAAAAAAGTATTACAACCTTTCTGTGACCGGCTGTACATGCTCTATCGAACTCCTCTCTTTCATTTTTAAATGTAAAAAACACACAATTTTTAACTTTGTGTGAGTTTTTTGCTGTTACATAAAATATTTTTTTCTTCTCGTTATAAGACCATATAAGTAATTTTTAATACTTTTGTTCGTTCGAGCTTTGACAAAATATGCGATATGTAGGGAAAATTTTCGTAAAGTTTTTGTCCGCGTGAAAAACAAAACATACGCTATAATTGATACATCCTTGTAATAACTGTATTATCCTTAAGTACAGATACAAAAGAAAAAGACATATAAAAGTCAAAACAACTTTGTTAAAATTTTCTGTGCGTCAAGACATACAATGTATTTTTAATAATAAATCTTAGAACGAAATTATTCGAGAAATGCAACAATTATATGAGTCAAAATACTAAAAACCTTATTACATATTTCGACTTTTCGATCAGGCCATCTTCAGATAAAATATTTAAATATTGTGAACATTAAACTAAAATAATATGTATGTAATCAAACGAAGAATACTCCTCTCCAAGCGTGGCAACACGTTGATAGCAAACGATTGCCCGATCGATTGTATTATAACGTCATAATATTGAAATAGATCTTTCTTAAATAATAAGACCAGGATAATATCGTTAAGCCAAAAAACACTCATCATGACATACCGGAAAAAAAACACTTCCTCCTTAGAACATATACTACTGGAAGCGGAATTGCCTATGCTACCCATCAATCGTATTGAGTACAATTTAAGCTCATTTTTTTCGGTAAGATGTCTATTTTAAATTATCTTATGTCATTTTTTACTTTCCGATGCACTCAAAACGACGGCAATAAAAAAAGTACCTATTTTTGCAGTTTTTTCAAGAAATTTCACTCATCTTCGAACCGCTGTATCTCCGGTTCATAGTACAAAGCTCGTTAAAAACTCATTTTATAGGAAATTTCAGCAGCAACAAACAAACTCTCTTGTCATTTTTCAATATCTCTTTTCGTTTTCGAGTTTTAATCGAAAAACCAAAAAAAAAAAAAACTTTATTACTTAATTTCTTCCAAGTGCCCCCCTTAATGTTGTAGCACTTTTAAATTTAGTCTTTTTATACCTCAAACTGTCGATTAAAACAATAAAATACTTGTAAATAATTTCTTTCTTTTTGACCGCCATGTTCATCTCTGACGACTAGCCTAGTAAACATGTTCGCAATAACATCATCGTCAATATATGTAATGTAAGTTTTACTTTACATTCGTTTGTCATCGGTCTATTTCTTATGGCTTAGGGCTGAAGTTTTACAATCGTATTATAGACACCACTTTGGCAAAAATTATTGCAATATAGTTAAAAATTCCATTATATTGAATTGATTTTATTTTTTAAAGTACTATAATATACTGTTTGAAAAAACTATTTATGGTAAAATCTAATTATATAAGTAAAATCCAAGTGGTATTATTATTTTTGTTATTTACTTATCTCTAATGATATGTATCATGAGTATAAAAGATTTGATATTAACCAAATTAACGCCAAGTTAAATTCCTCAAAATTTTATGTATCGATCGTAAAAAAGATTTGATATCAACAATTGGCGCCAAGTTAAATTCCATGTAATTCAGATACCAAATTAAATAAATAATATTGACTTTAATGATATGTATCATTCCTATAAAGGGTTTGATATATCAAGAACTGGCGCCAAATTCCATTTCTTTATTTACTTAAAATCCAAATAATATTATCTTTAATTTTTGTACAATGAAACCTAAGTGTACGTATATCTTATTGAAGGATCTTTCTATTCCAATCCAAATGGTTTAAATTCCTCTTAAATGAAATTATTATATCACAATTCATTCACACACAAAGACATTTTCTCTTCCAATTAAAGTAGTGGGTATTTAATTCTCTTTCAAAATAATATACAAAATGTTATCACAAAGTTGTGTTACCTTGCTCAATTTAAGTGTTATCACAAAAATTAAAGAGTTAATAAAGTATAAAATGAAAAAATTTAATTTAAATAGAAAAATTTTTCATGTAAGAACACTTGGCGTTGCTAAATCTCGATCTCGATATAATAACATACTAAGATATGAATGTAATATTTAGAAAAATAAGTGATGTAATACTAACTATATGGCTAGTACCTATAAGAGGAAGTGAGAGGAAGCCGTCCCAGAACCACGGTGCGAGAATATATTTCTTTCTCTTTCTAAGTTTACTTTGAGTATCGTGCGCATGCGTTGGATTGATTGCCTCCGCCAATAGGAAAATAGAATATACTTCAGCATATGTGAGATCAGTGAGAAGATGCGAAAAGGTTATGCTCGTTATGCTTATTAGATATGATTAATGTTATATACAGGCAAAATGTGATTAATGCTATATATAGACAAAATGGTCCAGATATGTTATTTATGTGGTAAAAAGCCTAATGCGACTGAAAACATTAGTTTGCACAGGTATAAAATCAGTTATATGAACGATTAATATTTACTGTGGCTTGTTTACGACTTGATGCTCTCTGAATTTCCTCAAGTGAAAAATTTCACTCTTCTAAGTGCAAACAATTTAAATTTGGCTGTTATTTTTAGATTTCCAAAAGAACGACAGCTTCGTTTAAAATGGTTAAATGCCTGTAATTTATCCGAAGCTGATGATGTATCAAAGGTGTACATTTGTTCATGTCATTTCAAGGATAAAGAGAAAAAAATTAAGCAGTTACGGGGAAAGTTTTTTGGAAACTGTCTACTTTCAGGAGTAGTTCCTTCTATATCAGTGACAAATGCCCAAAAAGTCATGTACATCAGTAATGAAACTGTCCAACGTCAAGATATATCCATCGGGGAAAGTGTATCATCTGAGGGAAAGATGATCTGCTATGTCAGTAACGAGCTTGCTACAGTTGTAGACGTAAAAGTCGATTATCATCAATCACCTGCATTGTGTGTGTTAGAGGATATCGTAGAACCCACAGATAATGCCAGTGAGAATATACCACATGTATCATCAGGAGAAAATTCGAACAACATTGAAGCTCTTAATGATGATACTGAAGGTATTTATTAAACAGTTATAATATTAATAAAATCCTGATTATACTGTAAATTAAAAATCGGAATTTGAGAAATTGTACATCAATATTTGTTTTTCTTTGTTACGAATCGAGTAAATTGAAATGATAAAATTAATGTCTATACATAATATATAATACAATATTATGTGCCTAAAAACGCCTTTAACGATGAAAAAAATTTCAGAATATGAGTCTAATATGTGAATAAGATTTAAATTCAGCGAATGGGTACAATATTTTGCTTCTCGATCGTCTTCGTTTTGGATCGTGCTCACCACGAATACACCGTGACAAGACTGCACGAGCACAATACTATAAATTTAATCATTGGCTGCGTTCAATAGAGAAAGCAGATTTGCAACTGCTGTAAAATTCTTTAATATGATTGGTCTTGCCCTTAGTTCCTCACTGGATCTAAATGTATAAACCAATCATATTTAAGAATTTTACAACAGTTGCAAAACTGCTTTCTCTGCTGAACGCAGCCATTGTATGAAATTTATAGCTCTTAAAAAATTA